CCCGGAAATATGAATACCTCATGAACAAGTAACTCGTATTATTGAAGGAAAAGAAAACATAAGCCACGAGCAAAACTATGTGTAGCTGGAAACTGAGAAACTTGGCAACAATGCCGATATCGCAGTTGAATTTCGCTTGCCTATAAATCCCCAGATACCGAATTTAGTGGACGAGCCTAAGCGGATTTTTAAAGATATTCAAGCGTTGCGATACCGTTCACTGAAAATGCGGTGTTGGCATATTTCAGCAACTAGTGGAGATAGAATTCTGAAAATTTGGAATCTTATCAAATTTGACACGTCCAATTTATTGCTATGAAAATAAATGGGGCATTCTATTCGCGATAGTAAAAAGACTACTTGTAGGGCAAAACTGGGAAATCTGGCAACAATGCCGATATCACGGTTAAATTTCACTTGCTTAAAAACCCCCAGATGCCAAATTTCGTGAACGTGCCTTTGAAGATATCCAAGCGTTGCGATACTTTTCACCGAAAATACGGTGTTGTCATATTTCAACAACTAGTAGAGATAGAATTCTGAAAATTTGAAGTCTTATCAAATTTGGCACGCCCAATTCATTGCAATAAAAATAAATGGGGCATTCTATTTAAGATAACAAAAAGACTACGTGTAGCGCAAAACTGGGAAATCTGGCAACATTGCCAATAGCACTGTTGAATTCCGCATGCCTGAAAACTGTCAGATTCCAAATTGTGTGAACGCGGCTTAAGCAGTTTTGAAGATATTTAAGTGTTGCAGTACTTTTTACTAACCCTGTATATATGGGTACATATAATTATAATAAAATAAAAGTGTCCCTACATACTTGGTTAGTAAATGTACTTCAATAATCCAAAAAAATGGAAAAACAAATGATTGAACTAGTAGAATAAATAAATAAACAATTCACCAACAATACAACACACAACCTCACTTTTTTACAGCTGGTTTTAGACCCGACGTACGTCCACCGAAAACAGACACTTTTAATTAAAGCATGAATTATAGAGAAATATGTTCAAAATTTGACGTATAATACGTTCAAATACTAAGAAATGCCCAGAACCCAAGATATTCCCGTCTGAAAATCACTCTTTTGAATCCCCCATAAGAAATACATTGCTGTCAAATTTGTTGAAATGTGTTTACGAACCCATTTTAAATTTCGCGCCCGATTTTTCCTAACCTAACTAATATAGTGAATTGTATTAGCAGGAATGTCAAAAAATAATGGAAATACAATAAAATGCACAAAAATGGAGTCAAAAGTGGTTGATGAGTTGAAGTTTACTGGGCATGAGGAAGCTGATACTAGAATATTTGCAATTATTAATTTTTTCAAAAACACGTCCAATATTTTTGTTGTTTACTCATTGGACACAGATGTTTTCGTTTTATCGATGTTCTTTTCGGTTACCTTAGATGTCGAAATTTGGATGGAAAGAGAAAAGAAATTTATCCCATGTTTTTCAATCATTAAAGCAATAGCAAACTTGAAACATTTGGATGTTAAAATATTAGCAGACAATTTGTTGTCAGTACATTGTTTATCTGGGTGTAATTCTGTTAGCTTTCCGTTTAAAAAAAGGAAAAAAACAGCCCTAAAAATAGTGTTGTCTCAAGAACCAGATGAGATGAGTTTTTTATCTTTTGGAACCAAAAGTAGTACATGTAATTCATATGAAATATTCGATGAGTTACTATCATCATGTCGACTATTCTTTAAGCATTTGCATGGCCGGAAAGACTTTAGAGGAAATATGGATAAATTGAGAGCTCATATGTTTCCAACTTGCAAAACAGATATAAGTTAAAGATTAAGTCTAAATAAACTTAACATTTTTTTACAAACTGTCCTAAAATATAGAATATAGAACTCTGTGTGTATGTAGCAAAGTCCTTTTTTAGGGATTTTCCTCCGACTGAAGATTCTCTCATTTTTCATGTGAGAAGGGCATTTTTACAATGTATAATTTTCAAAACCGCATATATTTTGAAGTCAGATCTGCCTGAAATTTCAAAGTTTGGATACGAACGTCCAAAGACGCCAAATCCACCTTCCTAAAAATTACCCCATTTTGCAAATGCAAATTATTCAAATGCAATAACAAGTGCAAATGCCCGAAAGCAAATGTAAGATGCAATATAGGTAAGTTGCCAATGTAAGGGAAAATGCATTGTGAAATAAATATTTTGATTGAGTTTTGATGATGATGATATTGTGTTTTATGCTTGTAAAAAAAATTATCATTATAGCATCATAATAATATCGTATTGCGCGTCATCTTTGTTGCACTTAAGAATAAGGCTGTGGTGTTCACACTCTCTGACACACTGATCGTTTAATTCGCAGCACCCCGTCCTAAGACTGCGTCTCACAGGCAAAGACGGGAGTTGAGACGCGGCGATTCAATTTTCTTGGGTTTTTGAAAAATAATACAGCCAAAACTAGACGTCGCATGAAAAAAAAGTTTCCCTGCTCTATTGGCAACATTTTTCTCGCTTATAGTAGTTATCTATCTCTAAAGATAAAAAAGTTTTCTCGACTCATCATTTAACGCTGCAAAATGACGATATTTTGGGTCATCTGGCGAAAAAAAAATTACATAGCTTTCATGTGACGTTTTATATTTTTTATTGTTATGAAACTATGTCAGGGAAGTATTGAAAAATATCATATCCAAAATTCATAACGATCGGACATCAATTAACAAAGTTATGCACTAGTTTTCAAAAAAAAATATTTCAATGGAAATTTTCAGTTTTTCCAAAAATGTCATGTTTTGACACATTTCGCAATTCCGGATTGAAGGGCGAACAAAAAATTCGAATCCGGCAGGTCATTTTACATAGGATTTCATGTTTTTTAGGTGGATGTTCGCGTACCTCAGATTTCCGACTATTTATGTCAGGAACTATAAGTGCAAATGAGCTGAAATTTTCAGGGATTGTAGTCCCTTGATTGGGATAAAATTCAGTGAAAGTTTCAGCTTTCTATCTAAAATAGAAAAAAAGTTATGACCTTGCAAAGTTTTCCAAAATCTAAATCATAAGGTGAGGCACCTTCTTACTGAAACGATGAAATTTCAGATTTTTTTTTTGTCGAGATTTTGTATCCTAATGGTCAATCAACATACTTTAAACTCCATACACTAAATTATTCTCAGATTTGAAGCTGAAATCTATGGAAAAAGGCCCTCAGAAAAATTGAAAAATTGATAAATCACCCCAAATTGCTTAACACGATTTTATTTCAAGAACTATAAGTGCAAATGAGCCGAAATTTTCAGGGATTGTAGTCCCTTGATTGGGATAAAATTCAGTGAAAGTTTCAGCTTTCTATCTATAATAGAAAAAAAGTTATGACTTTTCAAAGTTTTCCAAAATCTAAATCACCTTCTTATAAAACGATGAAATTTCAATTTTTTTTTTTGTCGAGATTTTATATCCTAATGTTCAATCAACATACCCCAAACTCCATTCACTAAATTATTCTCAGATTTGAAGCCGAAATCAATGAAAAAAGGCACTCAGAAAAATTGAAAAATTGATAAATTATTACCCCAAATTGCTTAACACGATTTTATCTCAGAAACTATAAGTGCAAATGAGCTGAAATTTTCAGGGATTATAGTCCCTTGATTAGGATAAAATTCAATGAAAGTTTCAGCTTTCTATCTATAATAGAAAAAAAGTTATGACCTTTCAAAGTTTTCCAAAATCTAAATCATAAGGTATGTACACCTTCTTACTAAAATGATGAAATTTCAAATTTTTTTTTGTCGAGATTTTGTATCCTAATGGTCAATCAACATACCCCTAACTCCATACACTAAATTATTCTCAGATTTGAAGTCGAAATCTATGAAAAAAGGCACTCAGAAAAATTGAGAAATTGATAAATCACCCCAAATTGCTTAACACGATTTTATCTCAGGAACTATAAGTGCAAATGAGCTGAGATTTTCAGGGATTGTAGTCTCTTGATTGGGATAAAATTCAGTGAAAGTTTCAGCTTTCTAACTATAATAGAAAAAAAGTTATGACCTTTCAAAATTTTCCAAAATCTAAATCATAAGGTATGTACCTTCTTACTGAAACGATGAAATTTCAATTTTTTTTTCCCCAAACTCCATACACTAAATTATCCTCAGATTTGAACAGAAAGAGCATATTAAATTCTCTATAAATCTATGCTAAATTGAGTTCGATAGCTCAATAAATTTTTAAGCAATTCAGTCTCAAAGTTGAATTTTAGTCGTTTTCCTCAAAAAGTATTGATATGAAAATTTTCTTGAAATTAAAAAAAAAAGCTTCTAATCAGCTTTCTTTCTGCTCAAATATTGGTGACTCATAAATTGAGCCGTTGAGAAATTATCCTAGACTCTAATAGAAAATTCGAGAAAGATATTCTTTTACTCAAAAGATGTTCCGCCACTGGTGGGTACTCAAGTCGGTGGTCTGGTTGGTAACGTCTACTTTTCGACCCAGTACTTTTCCACTGGCTGTGACGTCACTTACCTCAATGGGTAGCCGAATCAATAGGCGCATTGTCTTTTTTAATTGTTTAGCTGACATATTTATTTATCAATTATATTGACAATAATTAATTGTTTTTTTTTTTTGCACACATGTGGAATATTGAACTTTCTCGAATACATAATTATTGAAGTTTGAACAACTTTGCATTGATAATCGATTTCATCAGCAGGAAATAATGTCGAAATCTTTTTATCAAAATTTTTCTATTGATACAGTTGTAGATAAATAAATAATGTTATACCTTACATATTATATAGGTTGATAAAATGTTTGAAAACAAAATTTTTTAGCCGATATTTATTATAATAGCCTTCATGTGGCACGTTTGTTCAATGCGAAATGGCTCATAAATTTTAAACAATATTATTTATTATCAGTAGAAACGAAAAAATTTCTCTTCTTATATAGAAATTTGCAACAACCACCAAATGGTGATAAAAAAAAAAAATTATTACCTTGTACCCCCCGTGTAGGGGCGCATGTTCGTTTTTCTTAACCATCTTACTTCCAAAAAAATTAATAATAATTTAAAAAATAAATAAATTAATCACAAAATCACAGATTAGTAAAAAGACACTTCCTTCCCCCAAATGGGTCCGACTTAAAATGACTATAGCGTAGCAGCGCTTTTCGCGGTCGGATTTGGGTCTGGTTGCGTTTCTCACGGGAGTAGGGAGAAAAATGGTTTGTTGCGAACGCTACTAAAGTCCTATGAAAACGGTTGTGAGTGTGCGTACTTATAAATTTGTTGGTTTTTGGTTGAGATTGGAACAGTCAAGTTGAAATGCGTTTACGTCGCTCATGTTCCGTCTGTTCTATTTATAATAATTATTTCGCATTCGAAATATTTACACATGTGTCTAGCCTATTTAGTTTTCTAGAAATTGATTTATGAGAAAAATTACTTTTCATTTTATTGATAATTGATTTCAAGTGTTGTAGATAAATATCGATAAATCATTTTTGCGTTCAATTTTAAGTAAACTTCCAAATTTTGAGCTCGTTGGGCTATTGAATAGCTGCTATTCACAGAGGAGTTTTTGTTGATTTCCAAGTCCAACTGCCAATGGGCAATGGGACAAGTTTTTAAAAAGGACGAGGCACTTCTCTTATGGAAAATGGATCTCCGACAGATTTTTCTGAAATTTGGATATGTTGTAGTTTTTTAAACTTTGATTAAAAGTCATCATTGTCCGAACCTTGTGCGGTTGATAGTTTAGCCTCTAGAGGGGCGCCAAATTTTCATATAACCCATATAACTACATAGTGGCAAAAAAGTCGCGCATAAGACTTGTAACTTTTTAATTACCTCGTATACGAAAAAATTACCTTAATGAAAGTTGCTCAGTAAATTATTTCTCACATTTCTACCTAGATGAATTGTTTCTGTCACTTCTGGTTTGTTTGCTATCCAGACCAACTTTGTTTTCTCAAATGAAACACCCTGTATGTGATTGCATATTTGGATTCTGCTGTGAGAATTATGAGTTTTTTCTATTTAAAATTTTCAGCTATTTTCAACTGTTTCCGAGATAATGACAGCTGTAAAATTAAAATCCTAATTACTCAAGAATTTTACTTCCTAATACATACCAGTTGTGTCAAGGTGTTTTTTTGACAGTGAATTAAGAGGTGTCAATGTTGAGTCCCTAATTAATTTTCTGTCAAATATTTCTAATTTGCTTGCACTTAACAGCGCCGGTTTAACCATTAGGCGGACTAGGCGGCCGCCTAGGGCCCGGGCGCTCAATGGGGCCCGAAATTCACTCTAAAATCAAATATCTTATTTGGCAACCTTGCGCCCTGAGAAGCACTGTGGTGCCGAATTACGCACACTATCGGCCGAATTACGCATACTGTTCTGTAGCTGTGGGATTCCCAACTCAGGTAGAGTCCATCCAACCTTATGTCATGTTGCTGATGAACATCCGTTAAACGAGTAATAGATAATAGATACAAGATGTTCCATTACCCAGACAGCACACAAAGTCTTGAAGACGTCTTTTCTAGGGTCTGTATTACGATTGCGTCTAAACGTCTGAATACCAAAAAAAAAAAACGCCTAGAAGACGTTGTTTTGAAGATGTCCAAATAAAATGTCGTGAATTCATATCTTTCTCTTCTTCAAGCCTAAAAGTGAATAATGATGTATCGAAAAGAGTCAAAAACGTCTTTGAGACATCTCTTTGAACATTTGAAGTAGTCTTTAGAATGTCTTAGTGCTGAAGACATCTCTAGGCAGATCTCTGGAAAACGTTGGGTTTTGTTATATTACGATGTCTTTGAGACGTAGGTAAGACGTCTTGAATGTCGTTTATTGACATCTTAGTCTTTGGGAAAAATTTCCCACAGAATTCGTTTCTCATTTAATTTAGAAGTTACTGGAAACCATTTAAAATGCTACAGAACACTTTAGAACTTTAATAGACCTTTTGGAAAGTTCAAAACATTTAAAATTAAATTCAGAAATTTCAAAAGCATTCTGAAGCGGTTCAGAAAATCTTGGAAATCTCAGAACCATTTTACAATGCAGAATGCCCCAAAACATTCAAACATCCAAAAGCATTTTAGAACAACTCAGAAGGTTGAAACCCATTTTAGGACGCTCCAAAACACTCAAACTCAGACACTCTGGAATCCCCAGAAACATTTTGAAAAGCGCCAGAATCTTAGGATTCAGATTAAAATAGCTAATTATGTACCAAGGGGATTATGTAGATTATAATGCCCGAAGGCGAAACTAGCCCGAGGGCCTATGGCCCGAGGGATATATTTCGCCTGAAGGGCATTATAATCTTGAAATCCCCGCTTTATTTTCTACTCAACACAATGTTTTTTCATCAATTTGTTATTAACAAAATCAGTTAAACTTGTGTGACAGAATATTGTTTTGTATTTTGACATGTACCTGTACCTGTGACCTGTATCTGTGACCTGTACATAGAAACGAAATAAATTAATATATCTATAAACATCTCATAAGGCAACGGTGGTGGTCCTGTGGGTTAACGCGCTGGACTACATGGGAAACATTGATGGTAGACCGGGTTCGAATCCTGGCCGAAAATAATTTTCGGTCAGACATTTGGTGGCTGCCTAGGGTAAAGTGCAAGTTAATAGAACAACAACAACAAAAACACCTTAAGGTATTATAAGCGGGCGTTATGGATCAGGTTGTTATAGGTGTGTTAACGTATTTCGTTTCCTAGATATTATGGATCTATAATAGTAAAGTAGAAAATAAATTATACAAAACGCCTTTCAGGAGGATTATTAGAGCAAATTTTGATTGCTGTAGAACTTTAGAACTCTTTAAAGGCATTTAAAACAGTTCAAATCTAAATCAGAATTTTCAGAAGCATTTTGGAGCAGTTGAGTTATTTTAAAACAATTTCAAAGTTCTAAATTGAGTCCTTATTTAGTACTGGAAACCTTTTAGAACTTTTTTGAACCAATGTAGAATTTTTTGGAGCTTCAATAGGGCTCTAAAATACTTAAAAATCTGTCAGAACAATTTAGAAATTACTGAAAAACTTCTAGAATGCTCCAGAACTCTTCAAGCCAAGTTAGAACACTTTAGAACTGCAAAAAGCCATTTAGAACACTCCAAAACACTTTCCAGCAGCATTTTGAAAGGCTTTTTTTTTCAATTTGGACAAAAACAGTAATAAGTTACTTTGGGCTAAGGCCCCATACTTTCTGCCGCCTAGGGCCCGGTAGAGCCTTGAACCGGTGTTGGCACTTAATGAAAAACAACGAATTGAAATTTTAATAATGAGCGGTTACGGAAATATGAAGAGATCTCAACATCAGGTTTGTCAACTTTTCAATGAAATATATCCGAATAGGCCTCCAATAAATCAGTCAACCGTGTATCGAGTGTGGAAAAAATTTCGAGAAACAGGCAGTGTCAAGGAGGCTGCTAGAAGAGGTCGACCTAAAACAGCAACCGGAGAAGACAAAGCTTTGGATATGATGCTCTCAATACAAGAAACTCCAACACAATAGTCTAGGACATTGGCAATGGATTTAAATGTCTCTCATCAATCAGTAAAAAACTTGTTGAAGCAGCAGAAGTTACATCCCTATAAGATAAAGTTGGTACATAAGTTGAACGAGGACGATTTTGATAGAAAAACTGAATTTTGTGAGCTGATGATGGAAATATGCACTAACGATAATAACTTCGCAACAAACATAATTTTCTCTGATGAAGCCACTTTCCATTTATATAGCGTTATAAATCGACACAATTATCGTTATTGGTCAGCTGAGAATACTAACTGGTTCCAGGAGGTTCATACTCAGAGGCCCAAAAAAGTTAATGTTTGGGCGGGCATAGTTGGAAGACATATTGTGGGACCTTTTTTCATAGATGGTGATTTGAATGCCGAAAATTATCTGGACCTCCTCAACGATCACATAATTCCTTTTTGCAGAATGGTTTTACCGGGTATAAATAATAGAGTGAGCGAAGAGGTATGGTTCCAGCAAGATGGAGCATCTGCGCATTATGCGGCAAATATTAGGCGATACATTAACGAACAATTTCCAGGACGTTGGATAGGTAGAAGAGGTCCTATTGAGTGGCCAGCGCGATCTCCGGACTAAACCCCGCTCGACTTCTTTTTGTGGGGATATTTAAAGAACAAAGTCTACGTTAACCGTCCACATGACATAGATTCTTTAAAAGTCAGAGTTATTGCTGAAATTCGGGCCATACCAGGAGACTTACTTTAAAATGTTGTAGACGGGTTCAGGGATCTCTCAGGGCGCTCTGCTTTGCAGAAAATGGTGGTCATTTCGAACACATGATCCACTGAAAACGGGTAATTTTCTAGGCTATTTATTTTATTATAAAGATTGTTACTGAAATTGACTTAATCGTGGTTAATTGTCATTATCCTGAAAACAGTTGATAGCTGAATATTTTGAATACAAAAAATTCATAGCTTTCGTAGTAGAATCCAAATATGCAATCACATACAGGGTGTGTCATTTGAGAAAACAAAGTTGGTCTGGATAGCAAACAAACCAGAAGTGACAGAAACAATTCGTCTAGGTAGAAATGTGGGAAATAATTTACTGAGCAACTTTCATTAAGGTCACTTTTTCGTATACGAGGTAATTAAAAAGTTACAGGTATTAAACGCGACTTTTTTGCCACTCTGTATAATATAACTTGGGTGTAATTGGGTAACTTCCCCTCACAGAAATAAGGATGAAAAATCACTTTTAATAATATTTGGTCGTTACTTTTGCGATATTTACTCGGATATTTATACAAAACATCTTTTTTTTTTGGTGGGGAAGTTGTTTGATTAAACGCCGAGTAGCGCTGCAGCCGGAGGCTTATTTTGCTGAATCTTCTTGTTTACTACACCCATTCCAAAACCCTGGTTCCCTACAGTAGGCGAAGTCTGTTGGATGCTTGCCATATGTGTCTGGATCTAGTTCATCTTCTCCAAATATATACTCCTGGATAAAATTATCGCACCACCACTGCACATAAGCACCATAAGCAGTGGTGCGATAATTTTGTCCAGGAGTATATTTTTGTCTTGTGTGAGTTAGTGCATAAATGAATAAATAAAAATTCAGTAAAAGCTTTTTCCTATATTTTCGAAGTAAAAGCTAGGTTTTCAGTGAATAAGAATAAGTAT